AGGGAGAACACAGTGACCAGGGAGGACACAGTGACCAGGGAGAACACAGTGACCAGGGAGGACACAGTGACCAGGGAGGACACAGTGACCAGGGCAGATGTAGTGACTATGGAGAACACAGTGACCAGGGAGGACACAGTGACCAGGGCGGATGTAGTGACCATGGAGAACACAGTGACCAGGGAGAACACAGTGACCAGGGCAGATGTAGTGACCATGGAGAACACAGTGACCAGGGAGAACACAGTGACCAGGGAGGACACAGTGACCAGGGCGGATGTAGTGACCATGGAGAACACAGTGACCAGGGAGAACACAGTGACCAGGGAGAACACAGTGACCAGGGAGGACACAGTGACCAGGGCGGATGTAGTGACCAGGGAGAACACAGTGACCAGGGCGTATGTAGTGATCATGGAGAGCACAGTGACCAGGGAAGTCACAGTGACCAGGGAGGACACAGTGACCAGGGAGGACACAGTGATGGGAAGGGCGTAGTGACCAAGGAGGACTTAGTGACCATGGAATTTAGTGACCAGGGAGGACACCATGACTAGGGAAGACACAGTGACCAGGAAGGACATAGTATAGTGACCAGCAAGGACTTAATGACCAGGAAGAGCATCATGACCAGGGAGAATGTATTGACCAAGGGCAGCATAGTGACTAAGGAGGATATAGCGACCACCCCAGCCTGTCAGCTGGACCTAGGATGCAGCTGGCCAGCTCTTGCATTCAGCACCCAGCAAGTGTATAAAACACATGCACTGGCAGCTACACAGGTGGATGGACAGATGAACATGGATAGTGGGGTTAGGTGGTATGTGCTGCCTGGCTCTAGGTCCAATCCATCTGCTCCTCACCTGACAGCCCAGAGAAGCTGTGTCTTTGTCCAGGAGTACAGCTCATGGACTAAGCTCCAAAGCTGTCCCAGCATCCAGCGCAGATCTGCCGGTGCATCAGGAAGCCAAACCATCACCCTGGAGGACAAGGTCATGTCAGCTTCTCCCAGCAATCACAGGGAGCCCACCTCCCCAGGAGCCAGGGCAGAGCCACGGGGGCTGCAACCCAGGCATGAGGACCTGAGGATGTGGTGAGTGTGGGCCTAGCTACAGCAGTCTAACCAATAAGGGCCTCCTTTATGGAAGAGGAGGCTGAGGCCCAGGACATAAAGCAGGGTGAGCCGCACCAGCTCCTGGACATGTCCTCAGAGTAAGGGCACTGTCTCTGAGGTTCTGGTGGCTGAAACAATAGGCCATTTGTCACACACACTGTAGAGACCAGCCTGGTCACTGACCAGGAACCTCAGCTTCCAACCTAGCAGATCCTTGCCTCCCATCCAGCCCGTTCTGCAAATGAGACCAGCAAGTCTCCAAGTCCACAGCCAAATACAGGCCAGGCAAGAGAGCAGGCAGGCTCTACCCTCCTGGCTCTGCCCACCCATGTGTCAGGTTCCCCTCAGGTCTTAATCTCCCGCCACAGCTCTGGCTGCATGCCAACCCTTGTGAGGATCCTGGACCTCACCTCTTGGATCGGAAGTAGACATACTCCACAGGCAGTGTGCAGGGCAGGAGTAGATATGTCAGCACCTGCCCAGAGCCCGACCACCAGAAGCGTGCCCAGAGGCCAGGCTTCCTCATGCACGCCTTCCTCAGGGCTGCAAGAGAAGTCATAACATGGCCCTGTCCACTTGGAAGACCACCCACCCTGCAGCCCACCATGCTTAGAGTCACCCTAAGAGCAAGGGGGCAGAGCCCCTCCCAACCCACACCCCACAAGTCTACCACAGAAGAAACAACACTGAAGCAGGCCCTACTACGGCCAGCAGGGTACTGGGCATTGAACATGGCCCTCTTGCCATTGCTCATGAGACACACAGTGTGCCCCTTCCACAGATGAGGTTCAGAATGGAGAAGTGACTTGCCCAGGAAGTGGGCCAGGCAGAGGGCTCACAGCTGGCAGGATGCAGAGCTCTTACCATCTCTCCTGGCCCTGGGAAGTCGGCTGGGCCCCTAGGATGGGACAGGCCCCCGCCATGCCTCCCTGAACAACAGCAACACAGTTATTGTTAACAGCAGCACTGCTGTAACCACATTTCTTGAACCCCCTATTCCTTGAAGTGACCGGAAGGGAAGGACCAGCTTGCATCCTGTCCTCTGGACCATGACTCACACTCCAGTCTGGACCCTGGATGATGCCACCCATAGGCAGCACTATTGATAGTCATAAAGTCCACTGAGTGACTTCATGTCCACCTGTGGTGGGCCCCAGTATGAGTCCACTCCTTTCCCTGAGCCCAGATTGCCTGCTTTTTAAGTGGGGATACCAGCAGAACCTGCCTTATGAGGATATGCTATGAGTCTGCAAGGTGAGGGCCAAGAATAAATTCCTTCCCAAAAAGAAGTGTGGCAGGAAAAGGGTGAAACCCCTTGTGGAGTTTAACCCTAAACCTCACCCTCGTCCCTAACCCAAAACCTCACCTTAATCCCTAACCCTAACCCCAACCCTAATCCCTAACCTTAAACCTCACTTTAATCCGTAACCCTAAACCTAACCCCTAACCCAAACCTAATTTCTACACTTAACCTTATTCTAACACCTAACCATAATCCCTAACTTTACCTCTCACCCTTCTTGTTGATGTTAAATGCTGCCGAGTTGTTCTGACTCATAGTGATCCAGTATAGGGTTTCCGAGGAGTGGCCAGTGGGTTTGAATGGCCCACCTTACAATTCAAACTGACCTTGCTGTCCAGTGCTTTATCCTACAGTGTCTGTCACACCAGCACACACAGTTACATTTATTGAACCCCATTCATTGTCTGACTCTTACCACACTTCTGGTTGCGAATGGTGTTCTTACCCCATAACACGGATGAGGAAATGAAAGCTCAGAGAGTGCAAGGCAGAGTTTTCAGAGACTGTCCTTGATTTTCAAATCCAAATCTGTGTCTAAGAAAGCCCAGTCTTTACTCACCACTTGGGAAAGGGTGCTGAGGGACCTGGAGTGGCTAAAAGGTTGAGGCTGACTCATTTGATCTTCCCAACAACATTCCAATTTGTCCCCGTTGTACAGAAAGGAGTAGGATTAGATTTAGGGTTAAAATTAGGAGTAGAGTTAGGAATGGGGTTAGGGTAGGTTTAGGATTTGGGATTAAGTTTAGGGTTAGAGTAAAGTGTTAGGGTTAGGGGCTAGGTTTAAGACTGAGAGTTGGGTTGGTGGTTGAAACTCACCAGTTGTTCCTTGGAAACCGTATACCAGGTCACTGTGAGTTAGACTTGACTTAACAACAACAACAGTGTACTTGGGCAGACCCTGCACTCTTTTGACACGTTATCCCCAGCCTCAGTTCCTGGCAAATAAGCCAGGCAGGAAGGTAGAGGCAGTCAGTACCTGCCTCCAGTTCTGGCAAGAGCTGCTCAAAGTTGGGCACGTCCTTGACCAACACGTTGGGCACTGCCCAGTTGAGAGTCAGGCCCGCCTTCCCTTCCTGGTTGCAGCCAGAGTTCTGGGTTCCTTCAGCAGGGCATGGAGGTGCCTTAGATGCCAAACTCCACAGTATCGGCTCCTTGGTGAGTCCTGGGTCAGGGAGAGATATAATGAGTATACACACAAACACATATACCCATAGTGAAGCACACAATCACACACATACACACTCTCACACACTTAGACACACACACACCCCTCCTGACACAGAATCACTCAGGGCACCCACTTCTGAACCTTGTTGCTTCCTCTCTTCCCTCTAGAGGGAATGTCTTCTACCAACCCAAGTATCCTTCAATATAGCCTTCAGAGTTCATCGGTCACCACCAGGTTAGTCAGGTAGCTCCTTGGGTCCCCACAGTCCTGGGCATTCTCCTTCACTGCACCCTCTCCCTGGGTATCCACCCCTCTCTGGGCCCCAGCTAAGACAGAGCACAAAATACATGATGGAGCAGCCAATGAGTTTATTCAGCTCCCCGACAAACACCCCAGAGGCAGCATCCCTGCTGTTCACATGCATGTGGTCCCCAGGACAGCTCCATAAGCTATCCTGGGGCATATTACGTACCCCGCATCTCCAGGAATCTCAGAGCATCCAGGTAGCCTTGTCTGCAGATGTCAGCCACTGTCTGAGAACACCCG